AAGTAAATATTAAATGTGCTGAAAGGCCTTTGATTAACTGTATTCCACATATCCAATAGACTCCAGACAGATTTCTGAAACCTTGTATGAAAGAACATACCAAGAAATGACTTTTTTTTTTTCCTCTTACTGCAGCTAGAAGGGGAACTGGCTCCAGCAGCAAGTTTCTTGGCCCCATTAAGCCTGGGCTCTGCTGGATACCATAAATACATAGAATAAATCCTTCCACCACAAAGCCCAGCGCTATATGGACTGCACCCCAATGCTGAGATAGCATACGTGACAGCAACATCAGGTAATTACTTAAAAACATTTTTTTGGAAACGAACCCCTTTATTTGCAGAAGGATCAGGAAAATCTGCAAACGAAAAGTGTCTTCATCTTCTGCCTGAGATTTTATTTCTCAAAAAAAGATGGATCAGATTAACAAAAATCAGTTGCATTTTAATATTAGTGATGAATGATGGCCTGTGTACTGTACTGCAGTAGGGAAAATTTGGACCAAAAGAAAGGATTGACAGAGTGTTTAATTTGTTACAGAGTCCATTTCTTTTTCACTGTGAATTTAGCATGAGGTGGGAAACAAAGAATGAATCTTTTTTGTTGTTAAAAAAAAAAAAAGTGTAGCAATATTACCTTAGAAAGCAGTTGTTAAGATTGGCCAAGTTAGTGCCTTGTACGCGTCGCTCCAGTTCGTTGTGTGAGAAATCCCTCCTGCGTGGGCTCCCTGCTCCATCCGGCTCCGGCAGCGCGGGAAGGGGCTCCCAGCCTGCGGCCCTGGTTTGTGTCTGCCCCGTTCCCCAGGCAGGACACGCAGGCTGCTCGTGCCAGGACCAGCAGCCAAGCAGAGTGTTCTCCAGCTGCTCCCCTTCCTTGGCCCTTCATCCAAACAGGAGCCTTGTTTGTGGCTTGCTCTGAGCCCGCTGGAGACTGACCGTTGCCAGCAGTGGCTGTGAAGGAGACTTTCAGGGTCTTTTATTTCTGTGGCAGTGTGAACAGGAGAAGTCTAGATGAGGAGGACGTCTGTCAGTCTCTCAGCCCCAGTACCTCTCTTGCACCAAATCTGTAGTTTGAGTAGTACAGTGGCATTTACCTTTTGGAGGCCTTAACCTGTGAAACCATGTTAACCTATTGCATGCCATGTAGAAGGGAGCACTAATACAGACATAGCCACTGTCACTTCATATGCCAAGTGGAACACTGTATTTCTGTTCAGTCAAGAGAGCTCAGATAATAATCTTAGTACAGCCAAGCTGATTTCAGAAAAATTAAAAACACTGGATTTTTCAACAGGGAACACTAGTGTTCATGCTTAATACTTAGCTCAAAAAAAAAAGGATAAGCAGGTTACATCTGAAGTCAAGAAACTCCCCAAACGGACTCATTTTCTAGTGCAGGGGGGTTGGACTAGATGACCTCTAGAGGTCCCTTCCAACCTTAAGCATTCTATGATTCTATGATTCTATGATTCTCTCTTGATCATAGGTAGGGTAGGATGAGTAAAACCATCTTGCAAAAGAATATTGTGTAGAGGTACCATGGTATGCCATTCTGTCTGTGCATATTGAGGCAAAACCATTGCCGTGCTTGGCTACCTGGAGACTACTGCAGTATATACTGTAAGAAATGTAATTGCTGATCCTAATGGACAGTTACCCAGACCATAAGAAACTACCATCATAGTATGGTATTCATTCAATTCTGTCCTGTAAGAGGATTCTGATTTTGAGGTCTCGTGGAGATGGTTGCAGTCATCAGAGAGATACAACAGATCCAGACTTAGTAACTGTTTCAGTGACCTGGAGTTTAGACTTCAGCTTCTAGTTTTCCTCCTCCCTACCAGAGCTCTATGACGTTTCTCCTCCTTGTTCTGTAACTTTGTCTCTTTCCTTACTCCCTCTTTTTTGTCTGGACACTATTCTTTTCTCTTACCACGTCAGATCATGGAGGTTTTGTGGAGAGGAATATGACAGCTCTCTATGCAAGCAGAAAACAATGCCTCATTCTTCTGTTTCCTCAGGGATCTTGTGGCTTTCACGTTACGTTTACATTTCCTGTCCACATCAGAGCGTGGGAGAATTCTCCGTGGCATTCATCATTTATCCTGCCAGCACTATGTCTCAGATGGAAACTAAGAATTTTTCTTTTGCTCTTTCCTTCTTTCTTTCTTGTCTTTCTCTATTCTATCCAATTCCTGTTCACTAGTACTGTTAAGAATTGTTTTTCATTTTGGTACTGGATTCCAGAATTGGCAGGGAGGGGAAGAGACACTTTTGGCAGGGGGGAGACGTGTGTTTTGTGTGTGCATGTCTAAGTAAGTGCACACTGTATTTTGTTTTCTCAGACAATAAGGACTGGAGTGGAGGCTGGGAGAAGCTATTAGGTACTAACAGTAATATAAACTACTGATCATGCTTGGCAAAAAGCAGTGCAATCTTCAGGGTACACCAGTATACAGCAGTCATCCTTGGCTCAGGTTGGTGGGCTATGGGGGTCAATTTAACTTTTTTTTTTTTAATTAATAGAGTCTGTTAAGTGCTAATTGGCTTGTGATCATTTCTCCCAATACTGTTGCTGAGCAGATGGCATAGGTGGTGGTGCACTGCTGTCTTGTACCCTAATAACCTTTTGATCACTACTGATGAAAAAATGAGACCTGCAAGGAGAGGAGTCAAGCAGAGGTCCTGATTGCAGTGATTTGCAACAGCTCTATTTGCATTGGCATACAAAAATGTCCTGAATGCTGTTCTGGAGAAGCTTCCTGAGGAGTTTAACATGTCAGAAACTGTGCAGCAGACTGTCTCATCCCTCTATGCCCTTCTTTGCTTTCAGGAATGTGAGAGGATGAACCTTCTCATTTCAAAGATGAGTAGGTCTCTTGAACAACTGGACCCTTGTCTGAAGGAGCGTGACTTCTTAAGAGCAGTGTATTTTCTGTGTATTTTGGGGGTTTTAGATTTTTTTTTATATACATGAAAGAATAGCTATTCTTTATGATGCCAGTATGCTTTTCAGTGGTCTCCAAACAAAAGGGAAGCTGATGTTTTCTCCACAGATGAAAATCCTGCAGCCTGCACTCTTCTGTGGTGCTTTGAAAGACACACGGGCTTAACTAGTATATCTGTCTAGGCATGGCCTTGCTCCCTGGTAAGTGTGCTACAGTATCTACCAACAGTAATTCATTCCGTTGAGCTACTACGCAAAGTTATGCTTCTGACCTAAAAACGGCAGCTTTGTTCCATTCATTGCTAAAAACTTGTCATGTTCATGCAAATCAAGTTTTACTTTGAAGAGAATTTTGCAGAAATATTACGCACTTTGCTGAAGTAAGGCTTTGTCACCTCCCTTTGAGATCAGTGCTAGGGCTGCTCAGCATCTTCTGTTCCTTCTATCCTGCCTATACTTTGCTCAGCCTTATCTTGGAAATTTATGTACACTACTGAAGATGCTATCAGACAATTTGCATTTAAGAAGGAAAAAAGCAGAAAACTTTTGATCATTCTGCTTTGGCAGACCCACAGCCCCAGCTGTGAGTAGTGTGTAGTCACTGCTGTCCTTAGAAGGGCACCCTGGTGAAACCAGCCGTCCCAGCCAGCAGGTCCTAATGTGAAGTACTACCCTGAGCATCACATTTATCTTCACATGCATACAGTCTACACTAAGACTCTATGTTTAAACATAGCTTTGTGACATATTTAAAAATAAGCATCTGTTTAAAACCGAATTATGCTGATATAGCACTACAGCTACAGCACTACCCTTTAAGCTACGTGCCCACAGTTATTACAGGAGTCAGGTGGGATATGCAACTGGGGACTCGTAGCTGAAGCCCAGCTCAACGAACATCCATGTCAGTCATTTCTGTAAGGGCTATTCCAGTGAATCGATAGGAAAATAAAAACTTCCAGTACACACAGCTAAGAGCAAAGGGCATCCTTACATGTGAACTTTTCATCTGAAAAGCCCAGAGAAGCCAGCTAGGGGGTTCTGCCCAGAGCAGCAGTTTAGTACCAAGCCTACGAGAGTGTCTGCCGCTTGCTCAGAGCCTGCCTTGTACTTAAAGCAAAAGGAGATAAATACTGCTCACAGTTAGCTGGCACAGCTAATCTGCCTCACAAAAGCACATTCCTCAATGAAACACTATAATGTGCTCTATGTTATTTCCTTGTCCTTCAGTGTTGTGTGCAGGTATTTCTGCATATAAGAATTATTGAGCTGCAATGCAAATGATCTTGCAAATGTTTCTCTTGATTATTCTTTATTCTTTCTACATAAAAGTATCCTACATGAATGTTAACATAATCAGACTGCAATACAAGCATGTTGCATTTAAACAAAGCTGTCTGAAAATTTGGTTGTACATTTTAAAAGCAATATCCAAGCAAGAATTATATCTTTAAAAAGTCTGGAATTTGTTTGATTTAAACCAGGTATGGTTACTCTAAGATGGCTGGCTCGGGCAGCAGATGCACTGACATAGAAAATGCTGGTGAGCAATCCTTTTTCTTTATTGGGATGAATTTTCCTTTTTTATATAAAACTTTTTTTTTTTAAATACAAAAAAAACACTCTTCCACTTTCATGTTTTAGTGGTTAATTGCACTTTGGAATAAAGAAGAATAATATCCTCCTGCTAGCAGGCTGCATTAGCTTTGGCTGGAATATAATGGCATTCAGATGAAAGTGTCCCTTCTTTGTAGGGACAAGGCCCATGAACTAAGGGGTGGAGGGACAGGTGCTGAAAGCAAGGATTGGAAAATTGAATTTTTATGCTCAAGTCTGGGCTACAAAGTTTTTGTTTGTTTGTTGTTGTTTTAAAGAGGGGGTATACTTTCTGGGTAGTTGTTAAACACCCTTGCTGCATATTTTCACATAAATAAAAATATTGCTCAAATCTACAAAAGTCTCCATCACGTAGCTGTGTGGCCACATTAGAAGTTAACCACTCAAGATTCAAGAGTGCTATTCCACTCAATGTACAGGTCTGTGCATAAATGAACGTACTGCAGGTAGATTTCTCTACTGAGACGTTTTCCTGAGATCTTCTGTGTAAGACCAACCAATAGAAAAGATTCTAAATGCCAAAATGCATATACTATACCCTACAAATCTATCTTATACAAAACACAGTAATAACCTTTCAAAAGTCAGAACTTGTCTACATATTAACTGTTTGCAGGCGCAGCTTGAGTGCAGTGTTCTCAGTTGTTATCCGCCAGTTGTTTTTGTAAACTAGAAGACACATGAGAAAACATAGTTAGTGCTTTTAGGAAACTCAAAAAAGAGTATTTCCACGTTTGAATATGACAGTTTCCAAGCCACCACCACTATAAGCCTGAGGCAATCAATACTGATTTCAAGACATGGAAGAACATTTCATTTTCTAAAGTAAATTAGCTGTTTATGCAGAGACTATGACTCACTTTGTGGGGGTTGATTTCAGCCTAGAAGTAATCTGAAGGATCTGCCTGAGGCCATGTAAGTCACAAGCATTATTTAAAGGGATGTATATTCAAAAATAAGCTAGCACAAGTATCGTATTGGTTTGAAGTTTAAAAAGTGACTATTTCTTATTAAAGTAAAACCACCCATACTCAACGACCAGCGAGACTCCCAAGCAGTGAAACATCTTATACAGAGTTATCTGCTGTCAGAGACCAAGCCTCATACTAGGTTTAATGTCATACAGTAACTCAAGGGCTTTCAACTTCTGTAAAGCTATTTTAGAATGACAAGCTACGAGACGCTCGTACTCACTAACTACATTTGACAGAAACATTTCGAGAGCCCAACTCGAGTTCGGGTCGTAGTTTCCGAGGGAGGCTGCGGCTCGCAGGAGGACCACGGGGTGAAGCCCTCACCTTTCAAGGTACTCCTTCACGTTGTCGTAGCCACAGAACTTTGCCAAGTGAATGAGCATTCCCGTGGCGCAGCGGCCATCGCGCCGGCGGCAGTAGCTGCAGTTACAGATCCCGCGACACGGAGGACAGATCCAGTCCTGAAAGGGGAGGTAAGGACAAGTCACGAGAAGGTTTATATTCTCCTTCACATTACCCAAACAGGCATGTGTATGGCTTCCTTGCCACTTCGTTATTCAGGGCAAGATTTTAAAAGCCAGAATCAGAGAGCCAACCAAAATTGTTATGCTTTCAAATTTCTGCAGGATTAAAGAAGTGACCACGTTCTAGCCTGTCTGACTGAATATTTCTTACTCGGACGACGCTGGCTCATTGAACGATCTGCTCAGTTTTTAAAACAGACTAAAAGCGTCTGTAATACTGCCTAATGATAGATACTTCCTATGCTAGGCTGGTGAACTTTCCAAAAAGAGATGGGCACCCACACGTGCAAGTTTCATCAGATCTGCTGGGAGAGCCGCCTGCCCAAGCGAAGGACTCCCGAGACGGCCCTCCGCAGGCTACAGCCGTGCGCTTCCTGGCTGTTGGAAGGCGCACGTGAAGGGGCTAAAAGCCCACCCTGCAGGACAGTAGCTATTCCTTCTCCGTGCCGGGAATTCCACTCGAGTTCCAAGAGTGGTGTTAGTCCTAACAGTACTATGTATGTAGCATCTTATTGCAAGAAAAGTGAACACCAGTTATCACAGCTTTACACTCATCACAGCTTACTAACAAAACCACATCCAGTATATTGTCCTTCCAGGCCAAAGAAACGATACTTACGGGATCCACCAGTGCTGATTTAACATCTTCACCGTATCGATTTCGAAGACAAGGGCCACAGAACTGTCCCCTTACACCTCCACAGCCCTCATTACGACAGATTGTCTTTGTATCAATTGTCTTTTGTCGACACTGGTGGCAAGTACTACCCTAAAGTTGTACAGGAGGAGAAATACATATTTATGAAAGACATCTTAAATGCTTGTTGTAGAAGTCTCCTACTATACCTTTCTCTGCTAACAGCAAAGCACAAGCTTCAGTTCAAACCAAGCAATGCAAAAACTGCTAACAAAATGTAGCTGCTGTTATTACGATCAATTATATAGTATGTGGAGATATGCTAGGGATTTTAGAGACAGTGCCTGTCCTCAGTTGCTTTGGAGTCTCATAAACTATATGAGCCTTCTGTTCTGTTCTGTTCCCTTCCTTGCTCCAAGGGAAAAAGAAAGCTCAAACTAGTCAGAAAATGAGCTTGTGACTCATCTCTGCAAGTATAATGAGGCATGAAATGTATAATAAGAAACTCATCCAGATCTTTATGATCATTAATAATAGCCAAATCAGGTGAGGGAGAGGAGGAAGAGTTTCAAGAGTTTTGGAAACTAACCAACCCTTACAAAAATGTCATTTTGCGGGATACAAGAAGCAGCAGGACTCAGTATTATTTAATGGTACAACCACAGCAACAGTTATTTATGTGATGTGAGAATGAAAGATAAATGGGACTTCAACTCTTATCAGCGGTGAGTCATAGCTATATCCATTTACACTTAATAGCTCTGTGGCAGGAAAGATTTGGTCTCAGCAGTGCCTTGCAGAGCCAGAAAGGATGGGGGGTGGAGGGGGACTGTAAAATGGTGCTGGTAGAAACCAGCAAGGACAAGCCCACAGAAGCCCAGCAAAGCCTTCAAGCTGCATTTGCACAGCGTGACGATGCAGGGCTGTGCTCTCAGGAACCCCGGGAAGCCGCATCTTTCAGCAAGCACCAGGTGAACTCAAAAATACTTTAAAATGGATGGACAGCATAAAGGAAGTAACAGCCACTTACTATAACTTTATCATAGATTTTGTCTTTAACAGTGATTGCAACGTTGTCCAACTCTTCCGCAGTAATATCCTCTACAGGACGGCAAGACGAGTACTTTGATGACCTCCTCTTTTTGCGCACGCCACAATCCCCCTGCTAAACAAACTCATCTCAACACCTTTGTCTGGTGGCACGAAGACTGTCACCACACTGGGTGACAAATTCTTTCCTTTAGAATAGACAGGCAGGCCAGAGGGGGCAAACTACAGAGACCAATGGAAGAACAGGGAACGGAGCTAGGTTTCCATCAAAATCATTACCACCTCTTTCTCTCCCTCTCCTCCTCAACTCTTTCTCTACTGTGTTTATTATTTATTCTGATTGTAAGTTCTTCTTTCCCATAATTATCTCCTTGCTACTTCTATTCCCACAATCCCTATCCCAATTTCTCTAATGACATTCTCTCATATCATACAAAAAAAACTTAAGGAAATTTTGGGCTACGCTGCCATACCCAGGCCTTTCTTATTATCCTTTTTCCTACTTGGGAAAAAAAAAAGTCTTCCCCACACTGTTAAGTGCTCTTTTTCTCTTCCAATATTTTTCTCTTTGACTCTGATACACAGGTGATCCACACTTCCCAGATTTCAAACTTCATGTACACATCTGATTTTTAGCTTTCCTCCTACCTTCTTCTTAACACCTTATTTGACCTTGAATCAGTTGTTTCTCTCCATTTACCAGACCAGGTTCCCCACCACTGCTACTCTACTGTTTAACAGCCAAGTTCCCTCTGTAATGCTTCGGCTATTCCCATTAGCAGGACTAGGATCAGTCCTGGGATCAGTCAACATCAACGATGCACAGGTAGAAACTTAAGAATCTTCCTCATAAAGACTACACAATAAATAATAATCAGGCAAAAAAACCATCATTGGCCAAAGGAAGGAAGAATTCAGGAGATACAACAGAATGTATCAAAAGGTGATTTAAAAAAAATAAGCAGGGGGAGGCAGGAGAATAAAATCTAAAACTTTGATTGTCTGACCAGTGTGTCGGCAGTTGGCTGGTACAGACTCCCTTAATCACGCAAAGTTCAGCTATGTAACTCCTCCCTATCCTCCCTCTGCTGTCTCCGGAGGATTCTGGCTAGCTTTTCCTTGACCCAAAGAAAGATCTGTCCTTTTACCACCACCAGCACCCGGCACTGCCACTCTGAGGCCTCACACTGTATTAGCTCTAACCATTTTCCATGATAAATAAATGCTACAAAATGAGCAAGCTGCCTTGTTGCATTTGGATAACACAGTGTTCACAAACAGAGCCCAGCTAACGGATGAAAAAGGAGACAAAAAATCCTGCAATATCACATCTTCTGTAGCTAATACCAAAACACAGATTCTCATCAACTTTCTGTAAAATGGGATGCCTGCTCTACATGTTGGACCAAAATTTAAATGGATACTTCCTAATCATTGATTTCTGGAGATATTAAAGTTGGGCAAATACCACACTGAGTCTTTTCTTCAAGAGGTTTTGCTGTCTGTAGCTATGGAAGTGTTCTGCAAATTTGGAAGCAGACACACTAAATTTTTCCAAGGCAAATTTCTCTGGAGGACGAGCATTTCTGGTTGGGTTCATGCGACGCTCTATCTGGCCTTCAGTAAATGTCCTCCTTGGGATTTTCTTCTGTTTCTAGAGATGGAAAAATATAGAAAAAGACAGGAAAAAAAGGGCAACAAATGTTTGTGATGTTAAACACCAACAATTATCTCAAAATAGCTGCCTGACAATTGTAGAATTCTGGTTCAATTTGTTCTTCTTCCACTCATTATTTGCTAAGCCAAACCTCTGCAATTTGTAGCATACTTAAGAATTTTTCCCTACGTACGTTTTTGTTCCTTTAAGACCACCACATTCGCAGTCAAATTCTTTACCAATTAACATCACTAAACAGTGCAAAAATTTCACAGAAGGCATTTTAGGATGGAAGCCCTCACTGTTCTTCAGCAGTTCAAGATCTTTAGCAGTTCAGACTTGTCTACAATCTGAATACATCTTCAAGGAGTAACTCAAGCTCTAATTTATTTTAGTTTATATATTTAAATTGAAAAGGTCATGCATGGGCCACCCACATTCCTGGAAGGCACAAGGTATCCTCTTACTATCATCACACCTGTCCATTGTACATGACTGAATTGACATAAGAGAACTGCACGGCCACCTACCATAAAGACATCTATAGAAATGTGACCATATTAAACGCGACAACATAAACAAGATGCAGAATGTAACACTGCTTGCTGCCATACTCTCCTTAAAAAGAATGAAAGATACCAACTTTCATGTTACAAGGAGATGTGCTAGAAGTCAAAAATCAAGCAGAAGAGGTAATTAGTGTATACCTGCTTCCCTCACCTCTCTTCAAATAAAGATATTAAATAAAAATAAAATTTACATATTAAAAGAATATTTAATATTCTGTAATAAGCATTTAACAACAGCTATCAAGGTTTCGGCCTCTTAAAGACTGTAAAATTTGTTTCCACATGACAATTATCACAGAAACAGTTTTACAACTGTTTAGTTGTACAACTAAACACTGCTTTGTTTACAACTGCTTTAGTAAAGGTATGACTATCTCAAATATCTTCAGTTCACAACACTAGTGGATTGATACTATTCTAAGGTAAGCCTACAGTGGCTGGGGGTACTCGGCTTCAAACCACAAAAAGGTGATCAAAGTGACTACAGTATCACCCCAGTTTTTATGTTAGACTGGTTGAATTTTGTCATCGTAGCTGTAATGGGAAATGTGGATTTTATAAGAAAAGCAAATGAGAGAGAATTAACAGGATCTAAACACAAAGGAAAGCAACTACTCATCTGTTAACTCCCTCATTGTCACATACACAGACATCTCTCTAGCATCTCAGAAGTCATTCTGGGGAAAAAGTGATAAAGCAGCATCTGATCTCATTCTTTATCTTGATATAAGTATCTTATAAATCTCCATTATCATAAAATTGTTGGTACTTAAATATTGGTGGATAGCAAGACCGTACAAATAAAGTGACCAAAATTATATAAAACCAGAACAAATTTGGTAAAGGCATTTCATCAGTAAGCATAATAATAAAAAGTTTAGCGAAAATATCTGTCATCAGTAGTGTGTCATAGAGACTTACCGAAGGAGTCGAGGTGGGTGTTTTCACTGGAAATAAGTCAGGTATGGAATTCAGTTCTGCTAATAGCTGGGCAAGCTGAAATGAACAGTAATATTGTATTGAAAACTCACTGCAAACTTCAAAATATTTGATACACATCATCCTCTCACAGGCACTCAGAATTATTTCTAAATAGATTAAATCTCAGTGCATGAAATGCATGAAACCTTTCTGTAGTCACTTCATTTAAATAAGGCTCACTTTGCTTGTAATTTGCAGAGGTCTCTGGTAAGGAAGACAAGGAGTTTCTTTTTCTTCCAGCAAAAGACCTGCTGCTTATTTCACAAATGCTGCAAACCCCAATCAACAACGCCTAACACCAACTGCTGAGAGTCCCCTCTAGGTGCATGTACACACAGGGACATGTGCACACTCACCTGCAAAGTCCTCTGCTCAGGTCATTTCCCCAGCCACAGTGTAGGCAGCACCACAAGCCATTTGGCAGGAAGATTCTGCTGTCCCACATGGGAGACCCAAATGCACCTTTGCCTCTTAAGAGAAGAGTGACTGACAGTCCAAAACAATGGGACTCATTCTAGAAAACCAGGATGAGGTTTCCTTCAGAAAACCAAGCAATAGCAGAGGTGAACCTGGCTAGCAGTTGTCTCGCAGAGAGCCACAGCGACCATGAGATTAAAAGCTGGATACAGCATTTCTCAGTTACTAGTTCAGTGTAGCACTTAAGATATATTTAATGTCTATACAGTACGGTAACTAGGACACTAATGAATTTCATAATGGCTGAAGAAGAAGGAGGAGAAGCAAGAATAGCAGCAGCAGTAGTGAGAAAATAAGACAGATTAGAAATAAATACACAACTAAAGCAAGTTTTGGGAACTGCAAGCCAGTATATCTAAAACTGAAGGATCAACTCAGGACTCAAACTGAAGCTGGGTTTGCACAGCAGTGTGTTAACAGAGAGAGCTGGAGGAATTCTGGACAAGAGATGGAAAAGATACTAGGTGATAATTAGTTTCTCTCTCCTCCCCCAGGTACACATACCTCAACTAACTAGATAGTGAAGTATTACTGTGAACACACCTCACACAGATGAAGAAAAGTTTCATGTACAATCCTTATTTCTTAGCAGTATTTGCAATTAGTAACTACAATAGATCTCTCAGCCACAAATGGAAATTAGAAATGCTATTGTGACACTAAGAAGCATACAAGAGGTCCTTTTTTTTTTTTGGCATGTTCTGAATATAGGACTTGGGTATCTGTATTCACAACCACATACAAGATGTTCAATTCTTTTTTTTTTTTTTTTTCAAACTTGAGCTGGCTGTTTCTACTTGAGGCTATTTTAGAGGTAAACACCTGAGTGCTGACAGTCCTCTGGGCATTCCTAGGGCAAGAATTCATCCCAAACCACCATGAGGTTTTCCTGAAAATCCCAGCATATCATCCGCGAGCACCCCAAAATTCAAATACACTGAAGCTAAGTATTCACATGCAGACACCAGAAACAAAATATTCTTTCTAAGTCTTACCATAGCTTTATTTTCTTTAATATTCATAGCTCTTTTAAGCAGAGCACTGGAATTTTCTTCATCTGTTTCTTTAATGTCTTCTTCAGATTCTGAAGCAGATCCCTCTAGTTTGTGCCATCGCTTGGGACTTCTTTCATTGGAAAGAGGTGCGAGGTCTTTATTGTCCTTAAAAGGTAACTTACAAAAATCTGGTTCAGGCACTTTTTTTTCAGAAGACTTTCTGCTGGGAAACTGAAATGCGACACGAAGACCAAAGCTTCTTCTCTTGGGAGAAACTTTCTTCTCCTCTTCCTCCTCTTCTTCCTCGCTAGCCAATAAATTACCACGTTCTTCATCACTCAAATCTGACTCTGCTGTCTACAGGCAGAAATAGTTTCATGTTATATTACCAACTGTGACACAAGAAAAAGTTGTTTTTCAATCACTGGTTCTAGACAGCAATCTTGCCTAGCACTGTCAGTCCTTAATGCTACAAGCATGGGGAAATGCCCTCACTTCCAATACAACATACTATGTTAAATTAAGTTTCCCTTTTCATACAGTACATATTTTTCTTCAGCATGAATAATGAACATCATAGTTTATCAGAAACTAGACTACTAGAATATCATGTTTACACAGAGGAGACAGGGAAAAATAAAAGTCAACATATGCATTCAGAGGTGAGCACGTGCATAGGTGGTACTGTAATACCACTTCCTTTACCAGAACTCGTTTTTTGTTCACATCCACCTCATTTGAAGGAAAACCTTCGAAAACTTCAGTTTCAGAGTCTGTGTCTTCAGTGAAAATCCTCTGCAACTCTTCAGTAAGGTATCTGGGCTGAAGCCGAACATCCTGTGGAAACACCGACCCGCAGCTGTGAGGGACTGGGATATACCAACTAGTCATGTACAGTCAAAATAAAAAGACTCTAAGATTTACACAAATAGCAGCTAGAGGGCAGGTTCCATGAAAACATTTAACAGGCAAAATTGGACAAAAGAAAACAGAATAGGAAACATCTAGAATTTCATGATCAAGTTATTTTAAATCAATAGGATTTTTGTCATTTTGAGCACAAGATATTCACTGAGCTTCTTCTCATAAGAGAACCATTTTTCTTCATCTCTTTTTCCTCACTATCCAATAAGATAAATTACCTTATTTTTTTGTAAACTATCAGGATGCCTTTTGGTTTGTTTCTTCTAGATATGGGAGAAAAAAACATAAAAAGGAAATCCATACACAAATCACAGTAAGAAAGAGCCCTCCTTTTTAAAATTAAAGACAGAAACAAAGTTCTTCTCTGAGCTTTCTGCAGAAGCACTAGTAGCTCTTGGAGATGGAGTCTGTTCACTCTCATACTGTTCTAAAGTAAAAGACACCAACACAAAACAAAAGAGCTTCGAACATGCAAATTAAAAACCTTCCTCTCAAAATATGTTCAAAATCTCTGCCTAAGTGTTGTGGTTTATCCTTTTATCATTCAAAGATATTCTAGACTAGACATATATCAAACTTCTCTCATACAGACTAATAAGAAAAAAAAAAAAAAAAGTAATTCCCTGAAAAAAAATCAGTCCCATCAAAACCCTTTTCAGGGAGCACACATTGCATACCGATAAGGCATAAATACAGTGTTTTCTTCACAAAAACAATGCGTTTACTAAATCAGAAATTCATTTCCATACTTTTAATTTGAATCAGTATTAGAGAATCTGTCTAATTGTCCCTATTAGTCCTCTGAAAGACTTGTTAATGGCAGTAACATACACATGTTAATACCACACCTGCCTTTTGAAAGTCAGCAACATTTACTTAAGATAAGTTTGTTTCCCCAATTTTCCTGTGCTATTTCTTCCTCCCACGCAAGATACAGAAGTGACCTTTCACAGGAGGCACTTGCTAAATATCTTTATTTCTCCTTTCAATTTCCTCCCTTTTCTGACTTTAATTACAGACTTCTTTACTTTAAGATAATATCTGGTGCAAACAGATACAATAGATGAGTGGAAAAACTTACAGGGGAATAGGAGGGGGAGCTACTGCATATGCTGTTTCTTTGCACTTAAAACATGTACAAATTATTATGGGTAATTGGAATGAGTTTTCCCTAAGCAAAATTACTTTATTCTTTTGTTGATAGCTGCAGTGCAGCTGCTTGAGAAAGGAACAAACACAATAGGGAAGTTACTTTAAAGTTAAATTGCATTTCTTGGAGGGAAACCGAAGTTTTTATGCATTTTGTGTTTTCATGAAATTTCACACTGATGGTTAGAGGGGGGAGGAAAAAATAAAACATAAGTTGTTCCTTAGCTAAAGTGACTGAAAGCAGTAAACCTAGAGCTGTGCTATGCTACACCTACAAGGAACGGTCTGTGCATGGTAAAATAATCATCAGGATTAGCTCTAGGAGCTTTTCTAGGAGAAGCCTCTGAAACTTGGACACTAGGGTGGTGATTACAGGGACAGGACTGCAGAAAGTCCTGACAAAAAACAGACATGCAGAAGTTGAGAGCTGTAAAAGCACTCATGCATCCACAGCCAGGTAAGAACTGAGGCACCTTTTTTGTCCACAGTAACATGCCATTCACTGCCCTGTAAAATAAGTGCCTGGCTTTCTAATCACTGCATTTTTTTTTCCCTTAACTTCCCATCATTTTGCTCTTTCACACCAAGCCTTTTGTTTTCCTGCAGAACATGGACTCATGGTCTTTCAAAGCAACAGTTTTACTTGGCATCATACAGGATGGGACCCAGGGGAAAAAAAAAAAAGTGGTCTTTACCACATAGTGGCAAAGGACTTAAGATCAATACTGCTGGGAAGTTAAAATAATTCAGAGCCTAAGGGACACACAGAAGCGATAAGGAAGGCTCTCTGTGCCTGCTGTAAGTTCTGGACAACTTTCATTTGTGGGCAGGAAACACTGCAGTTTTCCCAGCACCACATACTAACTAACAGCACCTAGCTCTTACAAAGTGTTTTTCATCAGAGGATTTTAAAGTGCTCTGATGAAATGCAGAAGAGGCCGTTATCAACCCCTGCTTTACAAACTGGAGGCCAAAGCCCAGGGAGCTACTGCAACCTGCCCGCAGTCACCTGGCAGAGGCAGCAGCTCTGGCTCCTGCGCGAGGCCTGTCCCACCACCATCCCCACGCTCACCATTCCTCACGCTCCATGCAAGCCCAGGAATACAGCAGCCTGCCTCCTGGTTTCCTGCAGTTACTGGTACCACTGCCTAGCACCAAGATTACAAAAGTGATTTAAAGTCCAGGATATTTCACTTTATCTTAGTGACTACCTTTCTCCAGATCACAGCCTGCAGGTCTACTCAAAAACAAACAAAAAAAGACTTCCACATCCTTGTGATGGCATCCTTGTGATGGGGACTTGGCAAGTAAATGATGCCACACAAGCCTCATTCCACTCCTTTCCTTTACCAACACTAATCATCTTCCTCATCTTCAGCAACTCTACCAAGTAGTGACCTGGGGGCTAAAAACGTAAAGTCCTTTCAACTTGGTTATTAACAGGATGGCAAACCCTGGCTAGGACATAACCAACACAGACACCACTTAGCACATCAGCCCATCTCTCTCTACAGCCCATAAACTTCAAAAGGATGGAAGAGAAAATTTTAGGAAAGCCAAAACAGAGTAGCATTTCTCTTTTCTTCCTGTAATCAACTCAAACTAAAAAAAAAAATCATAAAAACACTAGATCATTATCAGCTATTTCATTAATACAATACCAGAATTAGCAAATTCACAATCAGAGTAAGAACTATTTTTTTTCTGTGGGTCACCACAACTAGAACAGCTATTTTAATGCAGAAACAGCAATAGGTGGATATGAATTTCTGAAAGAAATACTACCTGTCCATCTGCAGGGATTCACACAGAAATCACTTCTTGACACGCATTTATCCTTAGACTACGTACCCACTGCAGGCTATCTCTGGATGATCATTTTCTTTCCCTCTTAAATACTGTATTAAAGAGTTACAGATACCTATTTTACTTAATTTTACCTTCTAATGAAACCCATTTTCCTGTCTATATTATGAAAAAGTCTTAAAAAGTAACCAAATCCTAAAAAGGATAGAAAGCTCATTTATATTTAATAGGAGGACTGCAGTTTTGGGGTTTTGTGGTAAGTTATGGCTTGAGCAGCCTTAAAATAGGCTCAAAGAAATACTAGTGTACCAAATGAGATCAACTGAGCCATCTAAATCTGTTCCTACCTTTTTGCCTGATTGCAGGGAATCAAAGCTACCACATCTGTCCTCTGATAACAATGTCTGCACAGGAGCATCATTCTGGAAACCCGTAAAATCTTCACCGTCACTGGGGGCATTAAGAATGTCAGCCACTTCTTTGGGTATCTGCTTCCAATTCAAAATGAGACAGAAGATAAAATCAGACATGCCAATTTATTAGGAAAACCTAAATGGGCAATAGTACAACTTCATTTCTTTTTAGACTTTTATTCAAGTAGGCGTAAGCATTATGAAATATTCTGTGCAGTAAGACTGTGTCTTATTTAGCTAAATTCCAGGAAATTCTGTACAGACTGTTTTAATCCCTAAATACGGACTCCCAGATTGGGGAATAGAGAGGGATATAAAATGCAGATGTTTAATCCACACAGCAGTGCATGTCTCTAATACAAGAATATGTCCAAGCCTAATCTTCACAAGAGCATCTCATTTCTTTTGTCAGTAATTACACAGCACTTATTTTGACACACTTATTTTGGTAAGTCCTTATGGTAGCACTTATTTTGGTCAGATAGTGAGAACCCACTTTATGAAGAAGACTTCCTGCTTGCTAGAAGCCCAAGATTTAGTCAGCCAGGAAACTCTGCCACTGGCAGAGAGTGGCACTTTCTGAAGTGACCAAGTTCATGACTTACGAGTTCAGTCTCAACAGTTCAGAGGATCAGTCTCAACAGCAAAGGAAACTTTTATCACCAGGTCTAAGGATTTCCCATTGTCACATACTTTATCAGGCATTCCAGATAAGCCGCACTATGTAACAGGAGAGTCAGGAAGCCTCCAGGCAGCTCTGACCCCGGCTATTCTAGGATTGTGTGTGTGGAAGAACAGGATGAACAGACCCAACCTTAGAAAAACGGGGCAGAAAGTATTTTGCACGGCTTAATGCCCATTTCACACCATGAGCTTCAGAATACATTTTTATGCTTATTAATACCACTTGCAAAACTATTTTGCCGTTACAGAAATGCTCAGGGAGACAATGTCTGTCTGAAGTGCTCACCAGGGACCAAACACTTATATTCTGCATCCACGGGGCATACATTTCATGCCTGCTCCTCATATTTAAATAAGAGCCTCCCTCACTGCATGTTGTACACTAAGGCTGCAAGTAGATTTTCCATTGCTCTCATTAAATCTCAGAATACAGATGCAAGACTTGAAAGGGTGAGAGAACCCTTGTTCCAAAGAGGCTCCCCAGGATGGGAAAATCAAGAGAACATCCCCAAGATGAACTCAGAAACAGAGAGCAGCCTGGACTTGCCCACTGTCACAGACAGCCAAGGTGCTCCTACACGGCTTCATGTAATATTTTTTCCTTGCATTTTTTTTTTGTGCCAAGACAAACATGCCACAGGCAGATCATTCTCCAAAATTAACATTCCTGTTAAAACACTGTTTCTGTTAGAACAAGAAGCAGCATCCTGACCCAAACCTCACTCCCTGAAACACGTCACAGGAATACATGGGCCTAATTTCTTGCTTAAATTCCTTCTCTTCTCTTATAGAACTGATGTAAACAGAGTTAAAACTGTTTTACAATGGCTTGAGCAAGAGCAGAATTCATCTGTAAACAGATGACCCTTGCAGGCAAACCTCAGCCCCATCCAGCGTGCTGATGCAGAAGTCATGCTGTCCATACGAGAATCCTTTTGGACATTCCCTGTCTCCACTTCTTTAAGAGGCAGCCAGAGTCCGGCGCCATCCCTGCGAAGGAATACACTCGGTACAGAGCAGTGCCAAAAACGAAGCATCTGAATGGTGTAATGGAGAAAAAAAAAAGTACAAGGAGCTACAGGCCTTGTTGCTATGAATACATTGCTTCCAGGAGCCACTGCATTAGTTCCTGTGCTATTGTTACAGCTGAGATGGGAACTGCTGTGACTACTGTGTGCCTAACTAATTTCTTCTTCTCCATCTATTACTTCTGCATCTTCATCAGAGGGGCCATTATGGGGGTGTAATTACTGATTTTGAACAAAGGAAGAAAATACTTTCCCTGTAGAAGGCTTTTTTTTTTTTTTTTTGATCTTTACTGAATACCTGAGGTACTGATTTAGGTAACTTACTGCAGAACTTTGAAGATTTTCAGTTTGTGATCTGCTCCCCACAGTCTGATTATCAAGAGTTTCATTCAGTTGTTCAGGAATCCCCATTCCACCTCAGTCTTAACACCTGATACATGTTGGGTACGGACATATTACAGGTGTTCAAAAAGGTCACCCTCATAATGCACATTATATCTTAGCACGACGAGCTGACCCTTTTTTGTCCGTCTTCTTTAAAAGTTCAACCAAAGTCTCAGCTATCTCCTCCAAATGCTGCCAGATTTAAAGCAAATAAGTCTTAAATATATCAACAGATATTTTACAAAAGACTAATTAAGACTCATGCTTCTAAAACACCTGGTCCTCATATAAATCAAGAAAAGTGATTAACACAAGTCTAGTTTCAAACCACCCTCAGAAGCAAAACAGGATGTGAATATAAGAATAATTCTGGCTCTTTACATGTGCGCAGGTCTTCAATTACAAGTCCGAATTCACTGCAGAAAGTGATGTGTTTAGATGCTCATCTAAAGATTTGTTAACTCTGCAAGGCAGTCTTGACTGCAGGTTTGTCCAGGGACACAGATGCAGCTCCTGTGCCCCAGAGCCGAGGTGCACACGTAGCCTAACACACACCCCTGCATCGTCCTCGCGATCACCCATTGCCAGTATTTCTACACAAAAAACCATGTCAAGTGTACTGCCAGCGTGAGCCCCTTGCCATCAGCAGGCAGACAGACATCAAAGACGAGCCAGCTCCAACGACCTTTCCTAGGATGCATTCTTGTTTTCCTTGTGTAGTCCATGGACTTCTTCAGCCCTAAGTTTTACTTAAATACATTCACAAACCGATTAATAATCAACATCATAGCCTATCGGCTTAGCTCTGACAACAAAGTAGATCTACATCAAGTGAGAAAATATGTATTTGCCCAAATGTATCTGTTAAAATAGTAATCTATTTTAAGCAGTTCAAAGAAGCAGGCACTTCAGGAGGGGGTCTTTTTGCTACTATACCCCCTCAAGAAAAAAAAAAAAAAGGTAGGAGGCCAGAGAGGTACTGAATTGAACACTTCAAGTGGGATTGAAGAAAGCATTTCAACATGAAAAAACACAGGTTCAGACAAAATGGAAATCTGCACAAACACTGCAGAGATGTGCAAAATACTGCTTTTCAAAGACATTAGCTTCAAAAAAGTAAAATACCAAAAATCTAGAAAAAGCTGGGAACAATTTACAGGTGCTGAAAAAGCTTAAATATCGTTTCTTGTAGGTAACCTTTTAATATCTCTTGACTTAAGCTATTCTTGCACATAAACTATTTGCTGGAATACCCAAAAGTCACTTTTCAAAAGCACAATAAAACACTCCTTGCTACAAACAGCACACAATCCAAAACCTCCCAGAATGACCATGTCCAAGGATGTTTTTTCACCAAAAGATCAAAGTTCAATATATCCTCAGCTCTTTCCCCTTCTCTAAATTTGAAGTAATAAAATACTGCAAGCACCCCCCAAAAGTACACCAAAAATAGGCAAACTGAAGACAATTACTGCTCTAGTGAAATTCAGAGAGCGTTTAGCTCATTTGCCCCCATGCAAATGGGGAGACCTGTGGCCAAAAACAAAGACTGGCGGAGGCAGAAAACAAGACCAGGAGATGCTCTAAAAACCGTTCAGTGACACTCCAGCACCAGACAGTAACATAGCTGATGTCTCCAGTCACAACAAGAAGTTTTTTAACTGCCTTGCCCGCAGATTTTACCCATGTCATTAAGCAAGAAGCAAAAAAAAAGCTTTAGGTGAGATTTTTTTACAATCTCGTATCAACAGTAGGAATGCTAAAGTCCCAAACAAAAAAGCAACTTCATTGATACAAAGTAGACATAACATCAAAAATACAAGCAACTTCCCCTTTTGCATGTCAGTGCTCTGCCAGGCTGAAAAAAGAGAACGCTTGCATGCACACCCGCTGTTTTGGTGGAAATCATGACAATCAAGATCCTGTACTCCACTATCAACCATCTCCCCAGGCACCTCTTAACCATTTTAAATATTGCCCTCATTGCCAATGATTCTAACCCAGCACGTTCTTTTGTAGCAAAACACTATCAGGAGAATGTAAAGTAGGAGAAAGCAGGAGGAAAAGTAATTCTCTATCTTGATTCCACCACCACAAAAGAAAAAAAAAAAAAAACGAGCAAAATGTCCCGCCTTTATTCAAGTTTACATGACACACAGATGCTCCTATTTCAAGCAGAGGACAACTAATTTCAGTAGTGCTCAAACCTCCTATTTACTATTTCAGTCAGGCTGAAATAAACCAAGCTTAATCTCAAATGAATATATATACACAAACAAAATTTGTTTAAAACCACATCTTCAAACAGCGCTGCGGAGACCTCTTGACATGTTTAGGGTTTGGTGTGCAGACAAACGCACGGGGATGCTACCCAAGGCTCACCAGCACTGTACTCAGCCAGCAACCCCCAAATAGCAGTCGAAGGGAGAAGCAGTCCCGGGTTGACAGTTATCACCTGTGTGACAGGAGCAGAGGGACCAGACAGAGCCCTGGTAGGCACCAAAAAAAAAAAAAAAGAGAGAGAGAGAGACGTCGTCATCACACAATTTCAAGATTTTGAGTAATACTTTTGATTCCATCAGAGATGAACACTGATTATCCCTGTGCCTGTCCATCTGTCACAGCAAGACTCCTGGAACTTTCAGGGTGGCTCACCTTTCCATGAGAAGTTTTGGTCACTTTCAGCGTAGTCAACCTACCGCTACATGTAGGTATTCCATGATATTTTAGTAAATTAGCTAAGTTCAGAATAGTTCTGTACTGCTTCACTTCAGTTAGTAATTAAATAAACCCGGGAGCATCAAATTATTTACCATGAGCACATGGACTGCCAGTGTCCGGTCTTTGGGGGCTCCACAGCTTAACTCATCAGCACTCCTCCAACAAACCCCAAATAGTGGAACTGCTGCACACAAACCCTTCATATGAGACGCTAGGATGACAGACAGACCAACGCTGGGCTTGCAGTTCGCAGCAGCCTTGTGTTACTGACTTACTCGGGAGTTACTTGCAACAGGGCCATGCCGCGACTGACAAACTCGCTTCCTGACCAGCGAGGCAACACATTGCTTCAGAGAGACGGGGAAATCTGTGTCCTCTGGGCCAGCCAGACGCAAACCCGCTGCTGACCAGTGTGGCACAAAATGGAGCAAGAGCCAGGAGGTCCCGGGCCCCATCTGGTCCAACAAGAAGCAGGATGGTGTCGCTGAGGAAAGACCACATCTTCCTCCCCTCTGCTGAGCCTCAAAGGAAGCAAACTCTACCCGCTTTGAGCCCTTCTGCAGAAAGGTGCCTGGCAGACAGTCTGGTTCCCTCTTTGTGGCATCAGATATGACAAGTAAGTGCTATGCATGCACATGGATTGTCCCCTGTCAATCAAAGCTGCTCAAAGTGCTTTCCAAACCCATGTCACCATTGTCCCCGCCTTGCAGGTGGAGAACACCAGGAACACACTATGCAGAGGTGGGAAGGCCATGAAGCGCCACGCAAGACAAAAAACCATCAAATGCTTCAGCCCTTCTACAACATCTCCCCAGTTCTCCTTCCACAGAAACCTGGGTAAAACTCAAAGCTTTTATCAGCAAAAGCAATGAGAATGCTGGCTTTGCCCCCATTCCGTGGCACACAACAAGACTACAGCGTTGGTCTCCTGTGTGGAGATTATCGTCGCTCTTGGGCAAAACCCTGCCAAGAGACGCAGATCACAGCACGCATGTACTGGCAGGGCCTGGACCTCCAAGACTACAAATAGGCACACGTACTTGGGCCATTCCCATCTGCAAGGGCATAAATTCACTCCAAAACCAAAACACGGGGAAGAAAGGGGAGATAAGCACGCACGCACACACACACACTACTTTAAGAAGCCACTGTTCTCGTGTTGCCGGAGGAGGCTTCTCCTTGCAGAGCTCCCCTCCAGCAGCTTCGCTCCGCCGCAAACGCAGGCAGGGCAGGAGGTGCCCTGAGGCCGCGCGGGCTCTTCCCGCCGGGAGGCCCCTCACACAGCGCC